TACAGTGCATGCTCCTTAAATATATGGAAGATAAGCTGGAGAGATGGCTTAGCCCATGAAGTGCTCAGCTGTCAGCAGGAGGACCTCAGCATTTCCCCAGGGTCCATGTGAAAATGCCTGGTGAGGGAGCACTTGCTTGTAGTGAGGGGGCACCCGCTTGTAATCCAAGCACTGGGAAGGTAGAGACAGGCGGATTCCCTGGGGCTGGCCAGACAGCCTGCCCCAATTAGTGAGTTCCAGTTCAGTGAGAGAGCCTGTCTCACTAAACACCACAGATAGCAAATAAGGAAGGACACCTGAGACTGACCCCTGCACGTGCGCACACACACACCCCACAAAAATTTTTGCAGAGTGATCTTGAGTTGTTTTCTGTATCCCTTTTCTCTTGTTTTTAATATGTTACATCTTATATTCTTAGCCATTTGAGGGCACCAGGAATAGTTCATTTAAATAACATAGGCAAAAAAATGTCTTAGAGAATCCTCAGGTTTTTTTCCTAATTATATTTAAGCAGATTACTCATTAACACCAAGATAACTCCCAGCCCCGTCTGCCTCTATTGTGAGCCACAGAGTCTTAGGCTAGCTTTAGTCTCAGGACTAAGAATTTGCAAGAGCTTTTTTCTTTGAGATAAGGTCTCCAGTAACCCAGGCTGATTTCAAACTTACAATGTAGCTGAGGCTGGCCTCGAACTCCTGATCCTCCTCCTTCAAGCCCCTACGAGTTGGAATTGTAAGCATATATAACCATGCTCAGCTGTTTTAGCTTCTGAAAGGTATAAGCCAGCAGCTACATTGTTCAAAGAGCTATGCCTGGCAGCTTCATATTGGCATATACAGAGATCCGTGTCTACCTATCCCTTTAGATATTTTTTCTCACATATAAAAGAACCCACAGAAATCCTCCTGTAAATCCTCAAAAGTTACAGGACACACTCATATTAATATGGTTTATCAAAATACAGTGAATGAATTGCCACAAATGAACAATAGCCAAGTTGTTAAGTGGCTGATACAAAGAGATTCACACCTGTCACATGAGAAGAATCAATCAGCAGTGGAAGAGATCAAAGACGTGCTGGAATTGTGAACAGGTACAGGAACATCATTGAATATCTTCCTAGTAAAACTATTTAGAGGAAAAGTCGAAGAAACATTTGCTTAAACGAAAGAGACGCTGCACGGGCTGAGTTTCAAAAGCAGTCTTCGTTCTCATACACACACATATTAGAGCGAGCTAAAATTAGCTCAAGTTCCTATTTTTTAAAGGAATAAATGTTTCAACGAGATCTCATGGCATTGCATTGAGTTGAGCACTGAGTTTCTAGAGTACCTGAGCTCTGGTGGAAAAAGCCCCCCTCAACCCCATCGATCCACCCATACATTAATTAACACAATCCTTCCAGCCACTTCGGGTTTTGAAAAACTGTAGGTGCAAAGGCTACACCCTGCCACCGCTCAATCTCCCCTCCCTCAGCTGCCTCGTACCTTCTTGCTGTGCATTCGATACCAACTCCTGCCATCCTGAAATTGAGTCACCTCCTCCTGTCTTGTTCTTTGCCAGGGACAAGACCCCAAAGGTCAATTCCAAAGACCTTTTTATGCCTGTGGCTCCTCCAAATTGGTCTGCAGACTAAACTCCTGGTACTCTCATTCCCACATTGCCCACTGTTTCCCTGATTTCTGGAACTCAAAAGCACCCTCACCTTCAGCCACAGCGGCCCAGTCTGCTTATACTACGTACATGCATGCACTTGATTGTTGCAACCCTGCACTTGCAAGCAAGGCTTTCCTCTGCCTCTCTCCATCTCTTCCCACAGAAGTGCAATGCAGCCTTCAGAAACCAAGTCACATGATCCTCCTCCTCACAGTCTTTCCTGATCTCTTACCACTCTTCTGAATTCCTTCCGGGTCAGCCTGTACCCCTCCCCCGGTAAGTACCACCCAACCTTTTTAGCTTTTTAGCTATTCCTTTCTGCCTGGTCACGAAGAATATAGAACCTCCTTCCGGTACCTCTTACTCATTTTCATGTCCACAGCACCATGAAGTAGTTAAAAAAGCACACGGTGAATGTATGAATGAATCACTGCTTTACATAGATAGTAACTGTGAATAAGTTAGGTCATAACTTGCTATAGCTGTATTATATTTATAAAATAACAAGAACCAGAAATAATAATCCAGACTTTCATTTAAAAGAATAGCTTGAATAGATTAGAGGTATAACGTGACACTATCTTCCTGTCCACAGACAGCCATCGATTGTGAGAATTACAATAGGCCATTATTTATGCAAATGTTTAGATAATGCATATACATTTTCTTTCCATGCAATCACAGAAAATGTCAGCTGCTTAAAGGTCAAGGTTGCACAGACGTTGCACTGTTTCAGCCATCAGACGGTGAATATTCATAAGATTCTTACACTGGTTCATGCACCTAGAAACCCCTGTATCTCTTCTTAATATGCTGACCGTGTGATCGAAATGGGATTTCTGGCTGCCTCTTTTGTTCACGATAAAATTCTTGAGATATTTCGTTATGGCCAACAACCTTCTTCAAATACAGAAAGTTTTTAAAAGGAAAAAACCAACTCTCCCCACATGCTCCTAAAACTTCACTATGAAGATCTTCTGCCTAACACAGAAGCATTAAATGGGTACCACCACAGAGAAAGAGCAGTGGTAAGACACCCCCCTGCCCATTAGCAGACACGTACAAGTCTTAAAGAGGCTTCCCTTGCAGGCGTAGGAAACCTAGAGGTTTCCATTTGAAGGGAACGTCTCTATAAAATGTAAAGAACCATAAAGAACCCAGTTCTATAAGCCAAAAGAATATGATGCTCGCCATATGGCAACTCTCTCCACTCTCTGCCTTGCCTCCTAGGTCTCTTTAGCTATAGTCTGTCTGTCTGTCCATTGTGTCATTCCCCCCCACCCCCCACCCCAGCATCCTCTCTGGAGTTTAAACTAGAGCCTCAGGTATGAAAGTGCTCTGCGCTACTGAGCTACATTCTTAGGCTTCTAGCTACACTTTCTGAAGCCTAAACATTTCTATCACTCAGGCCTTCGGGTTTGTTTATTTTTAATTGGGAAGAGGTATGTACATGTAAGGTGTATACAGATGCCCGCAGAAACCAGTGGTATCAGATCCCCCTGGAGCCGGAGTTACAGACAGCTGTGAGTTGCCCAACTTTGGTGCTGGGAGCTGAACCTGGATCCTCTTAACCCGTGAGCCATCTCTCCAACCCAGGCCTTTGATTTTTATTCAGATGACAAATAATTCCATTCATGCATGCAATTCATCCACTATCACAATACCAAAATGTTGTATCCTATCATGGCAAAAAAGTTGACATAGGCTCAGAATTTTAAATTCAGAAAAATATATAGAACCCTCACTGTCTGTAGCGCCACAAATGCCTATGGGGTTGGTTCAAAGACCAAGGTCTAGGTATATTTACTTGTTCCTGGTCATGTATGGTCCAGGATCAGTCATGGAAAAACAACACCGATACAATCACCCTCTCCAGAGATAAGCTATAGCTACTTGCTAACAATGATAGCTCCTGTGAACAGGTCATAAACTATATGCCAGGCACATTCTAGCCCCACACCTGCACTTTTTCAGTCCATCCTCACGTCAGCCCTCTGACGGCTTCATCTTACACATGAAGAAACTGAGGCATGGGAAGGATATAGACCAGCTCAAGGTCAGAGGAGCATTTTCAGATTTGAAGAACAAAAACTCTGGCTCAAGTTAGAAATCCAGGCTCTTACCACAGCTGCCAGACTTTACGTGTAACCTCAAATAAACATGATCTTCAGTGTAGACAGAGCAAAGTCTAGGGAACCGTTTGGGCGGGGGGGTGGCTTGCTTTTTGAGAAACGGTCTCACTTTGTACCCTAAGCTCTCCTGGGGAATCTCTATGTAATCCAAGTTAGCCCCCAAGCTTGAGGCAAACCTCCTGCCCTAGCCTTTCCACCAAGTGCTATGATCACAGGCAGAAGCCACCATGCCTAGCTCTCGTGACTCTTCTTTTAAACGAACACTTTAGATAAAGCCAGTATCTACTCTTGATGAACACATTGTGAAAAGCCAGATTTGAGGAGTATGTTGTTTTCTGAAAGTACACTATGCCTCCCATCCAGAATGGAAACAGAGCGGTTCCCCAACACTGCCTTCACTCGAAGAGCAATGATTCCAGGAGACCAGCAGGCAACATTTTGATTCAGGAGCCCCAAATTTTCTTTGAAACTCTCTAAGTGAGTCTGTTGCCCAGCCAGCCTTTGGAACCTCTGAGGTAGCCAGGCTCCACAGCCACCCTGGGGACAGACAGAAATCCATGCCCTATTTTCTATTTCCCAATCCCCCTTGGTGGGTACACCAGTGTTCCTAAGCCCTCCTGGCCCCACGTTCTAGCTAAATTACATTCTCTCCCATTTCACTGAAGGACAGTGGCCTCCTGTCTGCTCTTTAACAGAGAACCATGAGTCATCAGTCCTTGCTTACACTGTTTCACGACTCTCGGCCAGAAAAACTTACTGTACGTGAGGAAATCAGGAAGTTGTAAAATCCAAACAGACACAAAGAAACTCAAGATTCAACAACTTCTGGTTGCCACTGACCTAACAAACAGTTCTCTGTTTCCCTCCACACATACTAGACTACAACAAAAACCTGAAACGTGAAAACTGAGACTCGTTGGGTAAATTAAGTTCCTAACTACCTTAAGGAAAAGTGACCATTAAAATGGTCAGGCTCAAGCCCAGGAAGCAATAATCAATCATTACAAATTCAAAGATTCCTTCAGAACCAAATAAGCCAAAAAGATAGATGCTTTAATCCACATTGTAAAATAAAATAAAAATTATCTGAGCTATTTCCCACATACTATAGCTTGTAAAGAAAATTATCTTCAAAAGTCAACAAAGTACATGGTGCATCCAGATCAGACTTTGCCTTTAGGTGGAAAACAGACAGTATCACAAAACTCTCACCTGACATGCGATACACTTCCCCGAAGAGGTGGTGGAAGATAAAACTGTTGGATGAGGGTGACTGACAGATCTGCAGCTTGAAGAGACCGCCCTGGTGACTTGTTGCAGGGTCCTTCTTCAGGGGTCCAGGAACTGCAGGAGAAGAAATCCAAACTGAAAAGAAAAAAGAACAAACTGCTTTAAAACAAAGTCCACCTCAAGATGTAGGCATGAAATACAAGTCTTAAGAATATCAGATTTTGCATTTTGTTTTAGAAGAGTTACACAGAAACCAGAGGACTCAAAAATGCAGGTCTGGTTTTATTCCACAGGACTTGGGGGAGTCAACACATAAAATCTGGGCCATTTCTTCAGTCCAGTGAAAACCTTGGTCTCCCCATCTGTGATATCCACTGCTATTTTCTTCTAGTATCCAATAAATAAACACATGCTGTCCATCACAAATAGTATTGGGTAGAAACTGGTATGAACTAAATAGTAGAGTCAGACACTAATTTTAATCCAGTGTATGTTATCCATTCACACGCAACTCAAAAGGGAATCATAAAAGAGCACTGCTAGAGTGCACTAGTCCAAAATGGAGAAAAACATATCAAATACAGAAAAAAAGGGTTTTTTGTTTTTATTTTCTTTTGGTTTGGTTTTTGTTATTATTGTTGAGACAAGGTCCCATGTAGGCCAGGCTGGTCTCAAACTTGCTATGTAGCTGAGGATGACCTTGAGCCTCTGATCCTTCTGCCTCCAGCTCCTGAGTGTTGGGATTATAAGCATGCTTAGTTTATCCAGTGCTGGGGATCAAACTCCAAGCTTCCGGAATGCTACACAAGAACTCTTAGAAACTAAGCTTCGTCCTCAGCCCTAAATGTTAAATAATTTAATCACTGAATGTGTAACTACTTCATTTTCATTTTGCCTCAGCAGTCAATCAAAGTTATCCCCCATCTGAGAATGTGTGAATGGATGAATGAAAGAAAGAATGAATGAATCTTCAGGGAGCTTGGTGCTTGCAGTCGATTTTGTGAATTAAAGACGAATGCACAGGAAAGGAAGAAGCTCAGGACTTGCTCTGCTAGCATATTTTTCTGCCCTGGCCATTAAAACTTAAATGCTTGTGATTTTCAATCATCTAGATTAAACTAAAAGAACCAGTAGCATTGCTATTATAAAATAATCTCCAGATTAGAAAACGCTGAACTGATTTTCAGACTGATTTTGGAGCTGAGCTGCATATGTGTTTAGGCTGATTTTAAATTTAGTTTGAGTTTCCTAAGCTCACGCCAGGTAACAGTAGGAAAGAGAAGGCCCAGAATTATATTGGGTGTCAGAAAGAAGCTATTCTCGAGCTATGAATACGATCTCTAATGTGAGTAATCTGTAAACAGGTAAGTAAGCCAATTATCCCTGGGTACATGGCAACTCATCTCAATAGTCATAATTATTTTCATCCATACACACTCGCTATTTTTAAGAGCACAGCCCAGCTGGAAAGGAAAATAACTTCATTTCTTTCCAGCACTTTGCAAAGTTGTGAATAGTAGCCGAAGTATTCTTCCTTCTAACGAATCCATTCACCACACATTTATTGAAGCATCTATTGCATTCCTGGAACTGCTCTGCAAAAGAAGTAATTTTTACAGTCTTTGGTTTCTCCATGTGTAATCTGTGAGTAGAGAAGGAGTGAGATGAGATAAATCAGACCATAACGTCTTTTAAGTCTTTACAAGACACCCTCTTTCCAGCAAAAAGGCTGCTGAGTTACAAACAGTGGCGGAGTTCAAACAAAGTTCATAAAATTCTATTTAATCTTAAGGCAGTGTTTCTTTCAAGGGGAGGGGAAGTCTTGAATTTTATCTGGTAACATCTCAGAGGAAGCTTCAAAAATGCCTGATAATCACTTTCCCAGAAGCTAGCTGCAGGTACCGGGGACTGGCAGAAAGCACTTTGTAAGCTCTGGGTGGGGCGAACACTTGCTTGTATATGGATGCCTGTGTACACACAGTTCTATTTACAGCAGCTCACAGTCTCCTCCCACTCTACTGAAGTGCACAGAGCAGTCAAACCTGATACAAATTCTGTCAAATATTAATTTACTCTAACATTGGCGTGCCTCGTTATTTAAAAACATCTGTCTTGCTCCCCTAGTCAGAGTAATAAAGAGAGTTCTATACTTGCTATAATCCATCAGAGAGAAGAAGCAGAAGAATAAACCCAAGGCAGCATGAACTTGCCACAAAAACATACAAACAATATGCAAGTCAAACAAACCAAAAGAAAAAAAAAAAAAAAAAAAAACATGGAACGTTTTATACAGTGGCACACACTGAAAATGGAATCTTTAATATTTCAAAATCACACAGCAGAGAAACACAATGGTGTTGATGGTGGGGAATTATCAAGAAAGATGGCACAAATAACAACAATAATGTAATGATGTGCAAAGACCAAGAGATAACACAGGAGTCAGGACCAGGGCCAAGGGCACAAGAGAACATTTGCAGTACACAGTGCAGGGAAATGCCGTTCTTTCATGTGAGGAGCCCGAGTGTTTGCAGGTTAGCAGTTTTAATTACTGCTAAAAATACCTGATAAATAAGTCCCTCTAAACCTGTCATGCTAAAGGACACCTTGGAGGAAACGGGATGGGGCCTGCTCAACCCCAAATGAAACACAATAATTGGGGGAACCCCTGACCTCTAAATCTCAAACTGTGATTATACTACTATCAGTTTTCTGGACAGTAGTTTTCAAGCAGGATATAATTTTTGCTTACACTACTCCACAAATGGGATGCATTAAGAGTTATAGAAAAATCAATGAAACAGTCTGCTAACATTAAATATGCCAAACAAAACAGAATGCATGTTGATTTTTTGTCTATAATAGTTCTAAACATGCTTTAGCTCAGGTGGGATGCCAGTAACATGGGGCATAAATACTCACAGTACATTATCCTAAAAGGCTTAGGTTTATGGGAACTATAAAATATGCCACTACACTGGTAAAGGCAAAAATACACATAAATATAATCATGAAAGAAAAAAATTAAAATGCCATCTCCATAAGTAAAGATACATTATCACACAACAGTTCTTTTCCTTTGTAATTTTAAGTATTTATGTTTTTAAACTCGTTCCAATTGTAGCTCTTACAGCCAATAGTTTTCAATTATGGGAAAATCAGCATTCTATATCTGTATTTTAATAATACTGCTTACAGAAAATGTGAATGAATAAATTTATTTTATTAAACTAAATTAAATGGAACTAAAATATGAGCATTATTACTGATGACTCAGAGATTCATATCTTAAACAAAAACAAAAGAAGAGCTTTATGTCAGCTCCAGGACAGAAAGTATTACCTCTACTGTGATTTCTATAACTGGTTGTTTAAAATGTATTTAACAAAATAAGACAGATTTGCTTCTGATAACACTGGAGTAATACCGGATCAGAATCTGTTCCTTGAAGCGATTAATTTGTACAAACCTCTCTGTTAAGTGTTTCTCTGCGCACGAACCTAACTCTCTCTTTTGTGTCACTCTGAAAATACAAATCCCCATAAGTCAATCCCCCTGAAAATGACAGTCTGCCTTCCCATGATAGCACTTTGCAAATACAAGTATTTAGCTTTTCAGAGTCTAAACTATGTGTCACCTTCAGATAACTACAGTTCACAGAAATTAACACTCACTCCTACACTCAACTACTCGCATGCGCACATTTATTGACTAACTCCTAATAAGAAGTGGAGAAAACTGCTATAGTCTATTAGTCATCAGACACTGTCCGTTCAAGCTATGTGCTGGAGCAAAATGCACTTGACATTTCAGATGCAAGAGAAAACAAAGTCAATTATACAAAAGGAATGTGAATCCTTGAACTTTCTAATGACAACAAAGACAGAAGCCATAGGAGTGCTTGCTAACATTTTAGTAATCTCCCATGGTCCTTCCTGGGACTCCAGGCAAGGGAGCCAAGGGTGTGTTGAAACTTTTGGCCCTCTTCAGCTATCTGATACGTAATCTGATGGCTCAGGAGTTTTTTCTTTAATCTTTCTCTCAATGTCAATTGAGAGGCCCGAAGTCTCCTTAGGCTAGAGCTAACCAAATAACACTGTTAACTAAACCCTCTTAAAATGAAATCTAGAGACAGAAGAGCTATCTTCTCCAGTTCCCACTCAAGGCCAGATTCTTCTCCATCTTGCCTCTCCATACACTGAAAAATACATGCTCACATTTTACTGTCACATGTAAAACTGAAATGTCTATCCTTTATTTTATAAGCTGGCTCCCCATATATTCACCTCTCAGAAATAATAGCTCATTTTAGCCATATGGATGCTTCATCTGACCAGGCCTCAACGAATGTACCAACCACATAAACTCAGTGACTGGGAGAAACTCATAAATCCCCCGTGGGGAGAGTTGGGCAGCTTTCTTACTCTTAGCCCCCAGGGAGGGGGGTATTTTTTTTCTTTCTTTCTTTTTTTCTTTTTTAACCAATTTAGCTATTTGGCCATAAAACTATAAACTGGCTAGCAGGGTCACAAGGCTTCTCTGTTATTGTTTCTTTCAAATATCAAAGTTAAAATATTCCTCCTCATTTGAATTGCCTGACTAGTACTGAGCTACAGCACCAAACCACTTTTCTGTCATAATATTATCTTGTTGGTCTTACTGCTCTCTAAATGTGCATTAAACTCAATCCTAAAGTGCAGTACAAACTGCTTACTGTGCAGAAGCTCCATGCATTTTGTCTCCTAGGTATAGGCTTGTATCATTTCTCAGTTAGCCACAAAAACATTTTCAGGTACTCCTGGAGGTTATCAAAGACCAGGAACAACAACAGATCCACATTCAGAACGTCTGCATACAATCACTGTCAGTTTTTATTAATGAGGGCTGTAAAGGTTTCAAATGTGACAGTGGGGGTATACTTTCCAAATAAGTTCCTTCCTCTGAGTAAAACGTCTAGAATGCTAACCATCAATCACAATGAGTTTCGGTTCTAAAGCTTGGGTGTGCTCTTCTCTCACACTAGAAAGGGTTAAATGCTTACAAGGCCAAAGGCTCCAGACTGCAAAAGAAATGTTGCTTTAGTCAGCTCTGAAAGATTTCTAACAAGTACCAAATACTTGTTGATCTGCTCACAATAAACACCAGCAGGATTGTCAAGCTCCTTTTCACCGTCTGGGGAGATGCATTTACATATTGTACTCAGTAGGAACAGTGTGTCAGTTTCCTTTAGAAAAGTTGAGTAACTAGAAGCCTCATTCCTGCTCAAATGACTAAAAGAAGATGCAATTGAAATAGTGAAGTCTCTTCTCTCTGGCTTGGGCAGCAAAAATACTGTGCATAAAACACTTTGAGTAGTTCACGAAAACCCACCTGAATGGCCCAAGGACTACTGTCTGTTGCCATGGCAGCCTGATCTAATTACATGAGTGATCAGGGCTGGAGTAAGTGTACAGAAAACTAACACCACTGACACAACACGGATCTGCATGATGAGAAAGGCAGGCAGGCAGGCAGCAGGTTTGGGGAGCCCTTCCACCTCTGCTTTATGCGGAGGGTGGCATTCAAGCCCATTTATTTGCAGAGCTGCTAAAATATTGAATGATAAACAGCCAGTTAGAGGACAATCTGAGGAGATTAAATGCCACAGCTAAGCTGTTAGGTTGCAATCCCTTTTCAAGAGTTTGTGTGCATGATTTTTTTCTTCTCTCTGTGGCTACCTCTGGCATAAGTTTCATTAATAATAATAATAATAATAATAATAACAAAAAGTTGACGCATCAAACTACAAATAAAGATTACACCAGAATCTGACACACAAATGTCAATTAAATAACCCAGAGGGTGAAGGTGGGCTTAAGCTGGGGTTCTAGGAAGGGGTCTTCAGAAAGCCAAACAGAAATGCAACTATGCCTAAAAATTACCAGCATGGAACTACCTCCTGTTTCGTGCGATCTTAGCGATGTTTAAATATTAAGAGCTTGCATTATAAAACACAAAAGTCATTGAGATGAGACTCATAGATTGCTACTGGAGAACTTATTTGCATACACACATTCCCTTGCATGCATGGCAGTATGTGAGGTGAGCAAGCCACTGTGTGGCTTTACTTTTTATTCTGTGGGTGGTACAGGGTCCTCTAATTTCACTAATTGTATCCTGTGGATTTCTCAGGGAGGCTAAGACATCTCCTCAGGGACAGAAGCAGTTTGAAGGAGTCCCTACAGCACAACATACGGTAAACAAAATAAAAATAGCTTGCCGTTCTTGTTAGCCACATCGCACATTATATAACCAGCTTCCGACTGGCTTTTTTTTTTTTCCGCCCTTACTACTCTTCAGCAATTTCCCAACCTTCCCGAGTATTTATGTTACCCTCTTATCTGCAGGATTATACACCAAGAAAGCAAAACAAAACAGGACAGCCAAGGGATCGAACTGAACCCCGCCGTCTTAGGAACTGTTTTT